GTCATTCCTATTCAAAGCATGATTACTCATATTTATATGCCACGCTTCTAGGCAAAGTCTTTGACCATAGCGATTGTTTGTGGTAATTACTTTAGAGTTTTCTTACTTAATCTCGTGTTTGGTGTAACATACATGTTCGGCTAAAGCTGATTTTCCCTTGTCTAAAGTTGAAACAGCCTTTTGTTGTTCTTTTAGCTTTGTACGAAACTGGCATTTAGACTGACCCAAATACTCTTCCTCGCAGTCAGCGCATGGTATAGAATATATAGCACGAGTTTTCTGATTTATTTTAACAGGATCTTTTGGCTTTGCGAAAATATGGCCTAAAGTCAAATAGGGTTTAAGGCAACCTTAATATTAGAATTACTTAAGATTCTCTTGATTGGTTCTGTGACACCGTGAATGTATGGAACTATTGCATAACCCTTAACAGAGGTATCACTTTCGGAGTTATTTTGGTTCCTACAAACAGGTGATCTCAGGCAATCATTAAGAAAACGTTTTGGGTAATCGTTTCCCCCTAAAATATTTAGAACATATATAGGAATATATGCATCTCATTGGCAGGTGACGTTATCCCTTGGGTATTTAAGAAGCCACGATTGCAATTTTAGATCACCCCTGATGAAGACACTATAGACTGGAGTGTCGAAACGTTGGGTGTTGATTACAATTCGACTGGGCTTTGTAATAATTTATTTAAACCAGAGTAGCAAGCGAAACATGAGGTTTAAGTTATTCCACACATAACAAGTAATCATCAATTACAAACATACAATGTTAACCTACCTTCCAAAGACGAATGAATCTTTCTCACATCACTGCTGGATTTGTCCACGTAATACGTCCTTTTCACGACAAAGGCTTTTCCATTGTTTGCGCAATCCATGTCAGTGCTATGCAGAATAGATTTGAACTCTCCGTTTTTGTACGTAGCTGTCATTGACCTTTTCGGTGTACCAGTGTGAATCCATGCTCCCATATCGTCGTACTTTATATCGTCAATCTTTTTCATTTTGGCATTGTTCACCAGAAAGGACACGATGTGGGAAATGTTAACCGGCAGCGCAATGCAAAGGCGTTCCATTGCCTGGTCACGGATCAAAATCTCTGCAATTTCGTCTATGGAATATGCCTCGTTTCTTCGCTCATAAACAGGAGTTAATGGGTCACCTTTATAAAGTTCTATCTCTGGTTCCACATCTTCCTCAGTACTGGAATCGCTGTTAAAGATAACCAAGGGATTCATTAGCAGAAATAAGTGGCGTTGTACAGAAAACTGGATTAGTGTTAACACATTTGTTTTCAAAAATGTTACAACGTCTATTGAAATTGGTTTATAATTTTTTAGGCAACATTTTAAACCCAAATCATACAGTTTTGTTGCAACGATTCGCCTTCAACACAGCACAACTGAGCTTCAGATGACCTTATTAACACGCCGATTTCTCTCGCGATGCGATTGGGAGTCGACTTACGAATGAAGATCCGGGAGGTAGAACTTTTATGTAAATTTTGTGAATTTTTATGTAGACTTAACTTACCTGCTTATGCAAATACTTTGGTGGATTGCTGTCACTCGCTGATTATTTTGGCCGTCACGTGATTCACATAGCCATGTTTCATCTTTGGTGCTCTGAGGAAAAACATTTCCATATAAGATTAAAGACCAAAGAAGATCGCTTTGTTCAACTGCATGTTAAGAACAAGGTCCAAGGTCTTTATATTTGAATAAAAACCGTTACTTGCGCTCACATATGCGTGAAAGGCAAGTCCTGTATCTTTGTTCAGATCAGTACAAAGGATTACCAGGATGATTTTTGGGAAGCAATTTCCGTGGGGCTTGTTAGACCTTATGAACTCGCGGGGTTGTATTAGTTCTAATACACCTGGCATAATGTCATGATAGGTGTACTAGTTATTAATTCAAACTGTAAAGACAAAAGAAATTCAGGCAACCATGATATTATTGAGTTTATTCACCCCAGTTTACGGGGCTGGCCCGGTCCATGTAATTGTAGTCGTCTCGTTTACCAAAAAAGCAACAATACCTCATGATGTTCAGCGGAATCTTCTAACTCACTGGTAATTTCGTATGGATCCGTTTCTTTTGTGACATCATTCTGATCGCAATCTAAAGTTTTTGGGCAGGATATTTTAATCTTTGTTGTATGTTTCATTGGAAAATAAAAAGTGAGTTTTTGCAAAAGTAATCACAACAAACAAACAACCTAATCGTGATTAATACAGATATTATGATTAGAAAACGTAACGAAAATCTCAATTTCCTTGGCATTTGTTTTACTGCCTTTCTACGTGGATGCATATACTTTTGAATAATAAGGTATAGAGCTAAGTCAATTAAGGTTGTCTCCCAGCAAAGCAGAAAAGTCGAATACGAGCGCGGAAAGTTTGCTGGGAGTGACGATTAAAAATACACAAACAGAACAAAGTTTAGTTTCTATAGAGATACGTAGTCGCGATTTATATTTATGAGAAAGCAAGATCTAATTTTAAACTTATGAATCAAACCTATGAATCAATGGTAATGTATTCGAGAATAAAAGTAGTCTTTCCCGATAAGCCTTTCGCGCTCATATTCGACCTTTTCTTCTTGTCTTCGGGACAACCTTAATTGAAATAGCTGTATTCACCGACAAAAGGGTTAGGTATATATTGACAATCTTTTTTATCTGTTGTTTTACTAGGTTTTTTTGCACTTCAACATATACTGAGCTGGACTGTTAGCAGTTGTGAAATTTAATGCAGTATGCTCCTTGCAGAATGGCGTGACAATAGACGGCGATTTTGGTTTGTAGAAGCACCAAGTTAATTTACTGATCATGCAATAGCTCCGATAAAAATCGGGCTTACGGATCGAAGGCTTTGCTATAATAAATTTACTTGAAGTTTACACAAAACAAAACTTTGTTGTAGCTTTGAAATCTACTTATACTACACGTGCACAAATCAACAACTTGTTCCTAATTAACAGAGAGTTTTAGCAAACACATCACGGCGTCGACGAGGGTATATATTTCTATATATGGATGTGCCACACCTATCGACAGGCCCCGAATATGCACCTCACGAACAAGTTATAAACAACGTTGTTACGGGTGTTACAGCCGAAAACTTGTTGACAACTTGTTCACGTGGTGTATTATATGTATCATACCTAGATGCAAGTCTTCAATAAACCATGCCAAACTCTGTGGTGTTTTTTTATCCACGCCACTTATTTTGATTCTCTTCAGAATCCACTGGCTAATCAATCGACAAGAACGAGGACTCCTGTCGTGCGTTGCCACCATGATCCCATTCCCATTGCCACCTAACTCAGCATTGATTGAGTGTGTATCCAAAATAACGATATGGTGGTTGTAAATCCATATCATGAAGCATAGGGAGGGCATGTGTATATATACACCAACCTTCCTTCTAAAGGAATAGTACACATGTGTATACACCAACCTTCCTTCTGATGGAATAGTACACAGAGAAGACAATAGTTCATTCCTTCCACTCCCTGAAAACACGCCACTACCGGACACACATTCTTCAGAAGTTTCAGATAACTGGTACTTTGTCGATAACGTACCATTTTACTCAAGAATGTCCTTAGTCTTAGATAGTTCATACTTCTCAGAAATGTTTCTAAAACAATTTATCTTTTTTGGTAGTGTTTTTATCAGGTCCTCAGCCAGTCCTGTGACGTGAGTCAAAGATTCATTTCGGTCAGAAATAGGTCTTTGACAGTCCAACAACGCGTCACACATAGCAATTGCAAGGAATGTGCATGCATTGGTTCCATCATTTACCCTTAGACTTTGTTCATCCAATTCTGCTTGGAGCGTCGAAGTTTGCAACTGTTGAACAAGAGTTGCGTCTACGTTTTCTATAGCAGAACTCTGGCTAATATTCAGTGGTTTAATTATTAGAGAGGCTTCTGGGTCTTCAATGTTGATTATTTTAAGAACATCTGATATGACAGACCGGGATTCCGGTACAAACTTAGCACACATGGAGAAGACTTCTTCCACTTGCCACCATTCAGTAACACGAAGTGACTCATATTTAATATCATGGGCAGGAAGCTGTTGAGCTTGCATAAGTTTTTTCATTGTTTCCATGTTAAATTCGATGCCCAACAGTTCCGCTTCTTTGCGATAAGGGTTGGTCAGATTTGGGTTCACCATTGAAAATGCCAACAAACCGGCCTAGCGATAAATGTCCGTCTTCTTTAAATCATCCTGGGAAGCCTTTCCTAATAAACCAGTATGTATTTCTGGAGCCATGTATACTGGAGGTGCCACGGCATATATAGTCAGTGCGCGTTTGTAAAACGGATCCTGTTTGTGTATCAAGGGATTTGCTCAGCCCGAAATCAGCAACATTGCAAACAATAGGGCAGCGTTCGTATTCTTTTGCGAACGATGATTGATCTGAGTTGCAATAATGCTGGTTTGAAACTAAAACATTACTGGGTTTCAAATCGCGTTGGGCAATTTCCATGTGGTAAAGAAAATTTAGTCCTGGAACTACATCCCTTATACACACTGGAAGGACATCGGCAAAGCTATTAAAATCGAACTCACAATCGAAAAAATGATAAAAATCTTCCAAACTACTTACCGACTTCTCGAGGCCCAAGGGCGCAAAGTCGAACGCGACGTATTCCATCATCAGGCTATATGGTGCATCAGAAAATCCCATGAAACTTGGTATGTTTTGGTGTTTAATGGAATGCAGCATCTCTGCTTCCTTTATGAAGCGGCGTTTGGCCTCGTTCGTTTCTCCTCGTAGTTTCTTTATCACCACTTTTTCTCTTCTGAGCCATGGACGTATTTTGCAGAATGAAGTGAGCAAAAGTTACCAACACAAAGTTCGTGCAGATCGTTGACATTTTCCCAATTGAAATGAGGTAGCCCTTGACTTATTTTCCTCTTCTTTGCAAGACTTAGAGTCGGAAACTTAAAACTCCTCGATATCCCGGACATTGTAGCACTAACAATTTATATGCGTTAAATAAATAAACAAGTCAAAGGATTTACTCTTTATAATATTTTTTTATTTAAGAGAAAAGCGACTGCAACACGTGAAATGTTAACCGCTTATAATGCCAAATAGTTTTGATAATAGCCAACAGTTTGGCAAGCGTAACCCAATACGAAGGTTAACACTTTTACTCACAAATTCACAAGACTTTTGAAGACGCCATGGCTGGCGTCGTTTCCGCAAAGGCATGAAGGCATGACAGTAGTAATATAGGTACCGATCGATCCGGATTTTTGTGGTGGAGTGTGGTGGAGTGTGGTGGAGTGTGGTGGAGGGAGGGTGCGTAATGACGTCACTCATTAGTATACGTCATAATTATATGCTATGACGTCAAGCGGGCCTGTCCGGGCGAAATTGGACAAAATTTGCTGACTAAGCATTTTTTAGCGTTAGCTCAGTTGGTAGAGCAAAGGACTGTAGTTATTACCAAATCAGTATTCCTTAGGTCACCGGTTTGAACCCGGTACGGTAGAAAATTTTTTGCCTTACAACCATGTAGCAACGTTGTGAGTCTCTCTCTTATTTTCAACACGCAATTGAAATTCGTCTTAATTTTGATGGCTCGTTTTGAGCAATAAGTTTCCAAACAGAAATAAAAAATATCGCAACAGAAATAAGCAGTTGCTAATCCCGGGTTGTCAAAGCCGTTGTTATGATCGCTATTTGCATGTTGTTCAACATTATTTAGCAAACCTACATACATATATACGGTCAAGATGACCGAGTCAGATAGAATACTTGAAGGAAAAAAACCTGTAGAACAATTTAACAGTCTTAGTTGTAATATTTTTTCTCTATTATTTGTATCAAGAAACATGTTTTAAACTTTGCAAATTTGCGTTGTTTATGCGTTGCTAAGTCATTAGGAGGTGTGTAGGTAATTAAGGGGATTAAAGCAATACGAA